GAATGGAGGAGAAGGGATTAGGGTGTGGCCATCTCCCCTGGGGAGTGATTTCTTGCTTTCTATCTCTCCATCGCTCTCTGTATTTCTGGCAAGCGCATGCACCCTATAGCAAAAAGAACTCTTACAAAAAAAAAAAAAAGACAATTAAGAAAGGACACACCGATGCCTCTGCTTGATGAAAATCATTATAAAGAACTGTGAGGAAAACGTACTGAGTCTAGACTCCGCTTCGGTGGCTACAGGGCAGATGAAAAACTACTAAAGTTCCTGTGGAAGCAAAGTAAAAGTTCAAGAACAGAATGGATGGAGAGGAGAAAACTTATGGTGGCTGTGAAGGCCCTGATGCCATGTATGTCAAAATGATATCTTCTGATGGTCACGAATTTCTTGTAAAAAGAGAACATGCACTGATATCAGGAATAATAAAAGCCATGCTGAGTAGCCCAGGTCAGTTTGCTGAGAACGAAACTAATAAGGTCAATTTTAGAGAGATTCCTTCACATTGCTAGCAAAAGTATGCATGTATTTTACCTACAAGGTTTGCTATACTAACAGCTCCACCGAGATTGCTGAATTCCCAATTGCACCTGAAATTGCACTGATGGCTGCGAACTTCTTAGATTGTTAAATAAAATAAGTTATAATAAACTGTTAACTTTTTTTAGTATTTAATACCTGTAGTTCAGTAATTTTTTTCATATTTTGCAGTTGAACTATAAAAGTTATTGCAAAGCAGATTATCTTCTGTTTCTTTGCATAGCAATCAGAGTCAAATTTGTTTGATACATCAAGGACGTTTTCACAAACTGAGACATAAACAAGTATGCCAATTCATAGGTGGTTTTGCCTTAACCTTTGGATGTAACTTTTTAAACTGGAACAGTGTGTGGCAGGCACTGCATACGGAAGCCATCTTGAGCTATTCGCCATCTTGAGCTATACACCATCTTGGAAACCATTAGACTTCACTTCCTCACTGAGCAAACCATTTCTCAGAAATCATGTGACCAACTGTTCTCCCCAAGGGGCGGTTGGGTGTCTAGACAACAGGAGAGATCCACCCACACCAATGATTGGTTCATGCTGTTCTATCTCATTTGTATTTCAGGCAACCAATCGGTGCCCACCAGCCTGTATATAACTCGCCATTTTTCCTCAATAAACAGAAGAAGACGGAAGACTTGATCAGCACCTCGTATTGTCTCCACTCTGTGTGTGTGTGTGTGTGTGTGTGTGTGTGTGTGTGTGTGCACGTGTGTTTGTCCCATCTCACACTCCTTCCCCCAGGGAACCTGATCGACTGTCCTAAGTACTTTTATGTTTCCAATTTTTTTTAAAAAAACCTATTCTGATCTTATAGCCACCGTTAGCATTACTAGAGTTATGCAAATAATTGCATTATAAAGATGTTTATATTAATAACTTAGCCAAAATATTGATTTTTATAACTCTCAGAGAATAAGAGTTGAAATTTCTTATGTCTTTTGATAAACTGCAATATTGTTTACTTATATCTTTTTGTTTATTTCTACAACTTAAGAACCTTATTTATATGCAATTTTGAAAGGTTACCAGGTAAAGATTTCAGAATAGTAAATATTTTAACTATAGCCATGTGGTCAGTAAGGAAACTACATGACTTAGGAATTCTTGTGCATTGTGCATTTGGGGCATTTCAAAGTACTGTACTTTCATTGACTATAAAGCTTCCTTTGCAATTTTCATTCTTCCTTCATAGTCCTTTATTGTGATTAAATTTCTGATTGTTTAAACGTGTTTTAAAAGACTCACTATAAATTTTTCCACGTCTAAAAGGCTAGACTTTTTTAACAGTATTCCTCCACCCAATTGGAATATTATTTTAAAAAATGAAGAGATACTGGAAAAACCTTATATAATACCCTTAGATATAATACATTAATTATCTTCTGTTAATTAAATATGTCCCCGTAAATATGATTCATAACTAGTTGGTCTTTTCCTGAAATCAAACTCATAAAGGAGTCATTCAGCTTTTATACTAAGCAGCCAAAAAAACATTTGACAAACTGTGACAGAAGATCTCTGCTTAAGCATAAGAAAAGCAGCACTGGAGTTGGGATTAATAATGTCTCTATTTTAGAAACAACAATGCTATCATTATAGGGTCTGTAATCTTCCACATATTTCTTCAAGACTGGCTTACTGTGGACCAGTTTTTCTGGGAACTGCAAAAACCATCAAAAAATTTTTCCTCTTAGAAAACTTAAACATTGTACTTTCCAGCTTAAAGTAGTTAAATATAAATTGCATATTTTTAGTAACTTCTTAAGACATACTGGTATGTATTTTAGCATAGAAGATTATTTATCAAGTATAAGAATTGTATTCTGCTACTTGGTGACAAATAACACCAATTATAAACCTAAATGATGTTTCAAAAATTGATGGCTAGACATAAAGTTTAACTTTGATTAAAAAAAACTGAGTCTAATAAATAATTTCATGCTTATTAGACTATGTATTAATAAATTGTTTATTAATAATAAATGTTAACTCTACATATTATTAAATATTAACTCTAATATATACTAATCATTTTTAACTCAATGCACTGACTTTTCTGCTCTCCTTTCCGTTGCAAATCTGCCTATTCAACTCTAGCAAGTTAGTGCTGCATAACGAATAACCACAAATCCTGAGCAGCATGCAATAGTAAGTGTTCAGCCTCATGTTAGTGAGTCTGCAGGATGGCTGGTGCAGCTCCACTTCAGGCTGCAGTTTGGTGAGTCAGTGGAAGTTGTTCTGTCCCATATGTGTTCATTCTGCAGCTCAGGCTGTGGAGCATTCACACGCTTGCCCAATGTGTTTCAGGCTGACTGGCCATGGATTTGAACCACAGTTGCCACATGGAATCCAGCTTCTCTCAAGCACTGCATTACTGCCATGCCACAGAGTCACCCCAGAGCATGTCTTCTCTTGTTTTGTTTTGCTTTGCTTTTTTTTTTTTTCCATTTTATTTGTTGCAGGAGGATATATGCATGAGAGAGAGAGAGAGAAAGCACCTCCCACCAGGGAGATTCCTTACACTGCAATTATTTTTTCCTTTTTTTCCTCCATCCAGTCAGGATTCTAGGCATGCACACACATGTTGGGCATGTTTCTCAAACTCCACCAGGGAGATTCCTTACACTGCAATTATTTATTTTTTCCTTTTTTTCTCCATTCAGTCAGGATTCTAGGCATGCACATACATGCTGGGCATGTTTCTCAAACTTCCATGTCAGGTACTTGAACTTCAGCCGGACATGTGGAATCTGGCTCTCTCTGCACAGGACTTAACTAGTATACAACAGGACCAGCTCCAGAATATGTTTTTGTTATTGCTGTTCTTGTTGTTGTTAGTTTGCTATAGGGCACTTGTACTCACCACAGAGAGACACAGAGAGAGAGAGACAGGGAAAGTGAGAAAGCACTCTCCAGAGGAGATGACCATGCAGCAATCCTTTCTCCTCCATTCTCCTCTCAGGGTTTTGGGCACACACACACATGTGCCAGGCATGTTTTTCAAGCTACCACAGCACCAGTTGACCCCAGAACAAATTTTTGATTAATCAAAAGTTCAATCATGTAGTATTAATAATTCACTTAAATTAGCAAATACTTATTTGGCAAATTTATTTTTGTGAGTTGACCAGAACACTAAGTGTAAGGATACATATGCAAGACCCATTCCCTGCTTCAAAAACTCCAAGGATAGTTTCGTTTCTATTGACAATTCCCAAGCACTCACATCCCAGAGTGTTTATTCTATGTCCTCCAGAGAAAGATTAAAGCAGACTTCACTGTCAGGAAAACTGTGACATTAAGAGACATAGTCTTGCACTTCCTTGCTGAGGAAACTGAATCACAGAGAGCTTTCATTCCTTGCCCGAGGTTCTGACTTTAGTCACTAAGTAGTGGAGCTTGACTTCATTCCACTAGCTTGGCACCAACGTCAAATCCCTTAACCACCTCACTATGGCCAGGGTCATCAACCTCTGAGAAACCACCTCCACCACTCCTTTCTTGATGACAGAACCCTGACACTGTTCAAACAGCAATGTGCCTGGTCCAAGAGAAAAACAGAGTCTTATCTAGGCCAAACTAGAATTCCATTCCCCTTTGCTTTTCCAGCCTTTTCTGCATCTAAGGTTAATAAGAACAAAAACAGGGACCAGCAGTTGGCGAAATGACTACGTCGCTGGACTCCCATGTAGTCAACCGTGGTTCGAGTCCCGGACCTGGCGGCTTAAACTCACGCCGGGTGTGTGTGCATGTGTGCCCAAGATCCCAAGAGGAGAAATGGAGGAGAAGGGATTGCAGCATGGCCATCCCCCCAGGGGGTGATTTCTCGCTTTCTATCTCTCTGTCTCTCTCTGTCTTTCTGGCGAGCGTACGCGCCCTATAGCCGAAACCTCTCCAAAAAAAGAAAGAGAAAAAAAATAAGAACAAAAACAAGAAGAGTTGGGCTGGGCTCTTTTGAAAATATGTGAGCCTCCCTCACTCCTCATATACAGATATGATGCCTAGAGCTCCTGCTATACTGCATCTTGCAGTCATGAAGAACAGCCTAGAGAACTGAACAGGCACTGACCAGTGCACTGGCATCACAGAATCCACTGACCTCCAAACTTCCCCTAGGTGAGAAATTAATGTTATAATTTGAACCAAGGACAGGAAACTGTTTCTATAAAAAGTCAGATAAATATTTTAGGCTTTGCCGACTACCCAGTCTCTATAACAACTATTCACATTGTATGGTAGCATGAAAACAGACATAGATTACATGTAAAATACAGGCATAGCTGTGTTCCAACAAAATTTAAGTTATGGACACTAAAATTTCAATATTGCATAACCCTTGTATGTCACAAGTTATTATTCTTCTAATTTTTAAGCCATTTGAAAATGTAAAAACCATTGTTAGCTCTCAAGCCATATAAAACAGGCCATGAGCTAGATTTGGCCAAAGCCATTATTCAACAGGCTGTATCATACTCGTAGCTGAATGTAGTTCTGACTGCATCACTGTCCTTACCTCCGTGATCAGAAAACAACTGCCTAAAAAGATGAGAGTCTTATGAAATTATTTAAATTAAGATATTAATGGTGAATAACAGCTTATATTTCACCTCTCAGAGACATCTGTTTTCTCCCTCTGTCTCATAGAGGAAAGGCACCTACAATGGAATTTTATATATTAGAATCAGGTTAATGGGGTGGAGACACCAAATAAAGTAGAGAAGCCTTTCTACAACTCCCCAAAGATTACACTGGGAGAGAAGAACAAAGTAAAACAGAAACTTCTGTCTCCAAGTGCCGTGATCTTTTCACATACCACAGCATGCTAACACCAAGAGATGAAGTGAATAAATCCAAGGTCACACAGTTGATTGAGGGCAGGTTGGGGATTTCAATTCAGATGATCTGTCCCTAATGTCTATACACTTTGCACTATAAACTACTGAAGAGAAAAAGAAAAGCAGCCCAATTTTCAATGTTCTCTGAAATGCTGACAACTAGAAGAGAATTCAGATTGGTCCCATTGAGTATAAGCTGCTCATCTAAGATACAACAAAAAATACAAATAGGATAACTTTTGCTCTATTCCTTCATAGTACACTAAAATCAGAGTGCCTATTTTGTCACCCTGTTATTGTTTTCTCATGTTTTCATTTTGTTTCCATGCCTGACTTCACTTTTTTTTCCCCCAGAGGGTATATGCACTCGCCAGAGAGAGACTGAGTGAGAGGGAGGAAAATGAGAGACAGATCCTAGAGAGTCAAAAAACTCCCCCCATGGAAAATGGTCACACCTCTAACACTCCTCCTCCATTTCTCTTTTTGAGATTGTGGGCACACATGCCTAGTGTGTTTCCCAAGCCACCAGATCCAAGACTCAAACTGGAAAGTCAGCCATCTGGGATCCAGCCAACTTAAACACCATACCCTGGGTTGGCCGCTGAGTTCACTTTCTTGCCCCACAGCCTCCTCATGGCACTTTTCACCTCTGCATTTCTGAGTGTGTAAATGATAGGGTTCAGCATGGGGGTGATGACTGTGTAGAACACAGCTACGAGTTTGTCCTCAGCGAAGGTGGAAGAGGGTCGCAGGTAGAGGAAGATGGCAGGTCCAAAAAACAAAATGACCACCGTGATATGAGAGACACAGGTGGAGAGAGCTTTGCGTCTCCCCTCTGTGGAATGGTTCCTCAAGTTGACCAGGATCACAACATAGGAGGATACCAAGATGAGGAAGGAACACAGAGCAATTAAGCCACTGTTGGCCATCACAACAACCCCCTCCACAAAAGTGTCAGAGCATGCAAGCTTGAATAAGGGATGGAGGTCACAGAAGTAGTGGTCAATCACATTGGGACCACAGAAGGGCAACTGGACAGTGACCAGGATCTGAATTATGGAGTGAATCATGCCCCCCAGCCAGGAACCAGTCACCAGACGGTAACACATAGGTTGGTCCATGATGTTTGCATAGTAAAGAGGCTTGCAGATGGCCACATAGCGATCATAGGCCATAACTGTAAGCAGGAAAATCTCAGTGACCCCAAAGAAGTGGAAAAAGAATATCTGAGCCAGGCAGCCTTCCAGAGAGATGGTTTTAACCTCAGCGAGTAGGTCTGTGATGAATTTAGGGACCACAGTAGAGGAGTAACTGATCTCCACCAAGGACAAGTAGCTAAGGAAGAAGTACATGGGGGAATGCAGACTCTTACTGACAGTGACTGTCAGAACGATGAGACCATTGCCCACCACTGTGGCCAGGTACACAGGAAGGAAGATGACAAAGCACACTCTCTGCACCTCTGGATCCTGGAAAAGGCCGGTGATGATGAACTCAGTCACGTTGTTTGTAATGGCCATGGATTCGATTCAGATGTGCTGGACGCCAGAGAGTGAGAGGCTGCAATAAAGCAAACACCAGTTCATCGCATTTACACACATTAGATAGTGGAATCCATATCATGACACACTTATGTCTCAGTCATTCACTTAGCATATATGTACTCATTCAGCATGAAATATTAATAGTCTAACACTTTGTATTATTTTAATTCATTTCATTTTATTGGGAAATGAAGGCTTAGATCGATGGTTATTTGTCCCAAAATCACAGAAAAAGTGAATTTGTGAACTCAGGGACTCCGACATGGTCTTTCTGACTTTGAATCAGGGTTCTTTCTAACTAATCACAAGATATCTTGAGCTTGGGGAGCCATTCAAGTTAATAGCCAATATTTGTATTATCTTCCTTGTGTTTTGATAGCTCTCCTGCTGGGAAATCCCTTCTTGTCTTCCTTGTTTCCTTCACCTATGCCTCCAGGAATTACATTCTCACTAATAATTCTGCTCTTTCCAAAAGGTCCTCTTTCTATTTTCTTCATTCAATTACATCAGTCTTCAATTTGCTCAGATTCGATTCCTTGCCCTAAGAGCATTTGCTTTAACAGGGCTAACTGCTTTGTTAGTTAGACTTATTGATCAAAACTAGGCCAATAAAAACTCAGTGTTGGGGGCTGATCTTGATCAATATCCTGTATACTAGCTTGACCTATGCAGATCTTATTCCAGTTCCACTTACTTAAATGATAGTTTCAAGAAATGTAATGTCAAATGCTACTTTTTTTTTAATGTCTGATATCAAAATCTCAACACTGCAAAGACCTGCTAAGTATTTCCAACCTCTCTATGCCACTGCTCAGCTAAAACCAACGTTCATCAGCAAGGTACACACAGCAGTCCGGTTAATCTTGGTGATAGTGTCTTTGGCAGCTCCAGACTTCACTTATGCTGACAGCTTGTATCATCAGATGCTGTGGTGTTTACAGCCTTCAACACAACCGTGTCTGCTTCGTTATTATCACTACGATCAGAAAAACATTTAAACAATAAAAGACAGATGAAAGAAATCCCTCCCCATTAGCAAAAACAATACACATCAGCAGCAGCAGAACCTGTGGAAATCTATAGGTGTTTCTGTATTTTGGTATTCAGACTGAAAGCTGCCAGGGCCATGGTCTTGAAACACCATCAACCACATGGGATCCAGTTCCCAATGCACAGTGCTTAACTGCTGCACTATAAGGCAAGCCCAACTGGCTCCCTATTTTAGGAAAACAGAATTTGATACCCAACTTTTTACCTCCATCAAATAAATTTTGAATCAAAGATTTAGATATCAATATTAAAATTATGATAATATCTTTAACTGGACTAATATAGTATATGCATGCAGGGAAAATTCATTTTGTATATTGTAATGATATACAGTGATTAAATGTATAAAAATATTTTAATTTAAAAAAATTAAAATTGTTAGAGTACTAGAAGCAGAATCAATTATGTAGTCCTAATTTGGAGATAGAAAGACCTTTAGAAGATGAGCATAGATATTAGAATTCATCTACACCAAAAAAAACCCTAAAACTTTTGAACAATGACAAAAATGTATAAACAAAGTGATTACCCAAATAACACAATAGGAAAAAGACTAAACTATATATGAAAACATTTAATAGCCCTAATATTAAAACACTTTAAATCTCTGAAGATACACACACATTGCCGTAGGGGAAAAAAAAAAAGAAACAGGCAATTCACAAAAGAATAAGTAAAAGATTAATATGTATATGAAAGGACATTAAGCCTCCCTAGCAAGCAAATAAATGTCTATTAAAATTTTTTTAAAAGACTCTGCTTTTAAAAAAAAAAAAAAAAGACTCTCCTTTTAACTATAAGGAAAAGACTGGTACTTGGACTGGAAGTAAGGGAGTAAGGGTTAGAGGTTAGAGAGTTAGCAAGGGTGAGGATTAGATTTAGAGTTAGGATTAAGCTTAGTCCTATACTCTGCTGTAAAAATGAAAATCATGACAACCATTCTGGAGAGAAAATTGACAAGGTTTATCAAATATATAGATCCTTCTACCTTCAGCAATCTCATATCTTCCAAGGACATGTTGGTTAAATGTCCAAGTGTTGAAGGCTGTGGTGTGTTGGCACCAGCTCAGACTGGCTTTGATGCATCTTTTCTCAACTGCATTTTAAGTGATGTCATATTGGCAGCTTGAAGTCAGCCAAGCTATAAATATTTTCACCTTGGAAATCAGTAAATGTTACAAATCAGATGTTTGTTTATTATAGGGTGTGTGCACTCACAGAAGAAAGAGAGAGAAAGTGAGAAATCAGCCTCCAGGGGGGATGACCATGCCACAATCCCTTCTCCTCCATTATCCTCTCAGGATTTGGGACTTGTACACACATGCACCCAGCATGTTTTTCAAGCCGCCAGGTTTTGGAAATCAGTAAATGTTACAAATCAGATGTTTGTTTATTATAGGGTGTGTGCACTCACAGAAGAAAGAGAGAGAAAGTGAGAAATCAGCCTCCAGGGGGGATGACCATGCCACAATCCCTTCTCCTCCATTATCCTCTCAGGATTTGGGACTTGTACACACATGCACCCAGCATGTTTTTCAAGCCGCCAGGTTCAGGACTCTAACCATGCAGTTGACCATGTGGAATCCAGCCTTCTTAACCACCATGCCCTCTGGCTGGCCCTTAGAGATTTTTATTGAGGATGGCCAGTCATTAAACATTTTTCATCACACTGGTAGGTAGGTAGAGATTAGGGGGAGAACATGTCTTCCCACTCCTGGTGCCTCTTTCCTTCTGGAAGGAGGTCCAGGAACATAACATTCCTAGCCCCATCTGCTAGGGAGCAGAGGGAATTTGGGGAAAAAAAAATTAGATATACATAAGTAAGCCCTTCCCTTCTCCTCTTGGAGTGAAATGCTTTAAGAGCACACTTTTTATTCTGCCTCAGGACAACCTCTTTCTCTGTGGGGTAGAGACAAGGTACTCTATACACATTCATTCATTCCATTTTCATGACAGTGTGATACTGATATCATTCTTATCATCCATTTTTCATATATGAGGAACATAAATAGAGAAGTAAATTCACTTGTGTGAGTTTATACCACAGTGCAGCCGGGATTCAAAACCAAGTAGCCCATGTTCTTTTTTTTTTTTTTTCTTAGCAAAAAGCATACAAATTTTATTAACATGCACATGTGCTCAATGGAGCCATAAAATCTGAACTCAGTGAGAGGCCAGATGGTTGAGGCTTAAATACTCACTTCCTAAGGAGGAGGTAAGTGTAGCCCATGCTCTTTAACCACCACCCTATACCAAATTTCAAGGTACATAATGCACCATGAAGAGTTAAAATTAAATATGCCCTTTAGAAGTCCAGAGTTTATTTATTTGCCTATACAAATAAATGCCTCTTATCCGGGACTGAATTCAATCCATTTTTTAATCTATTAGAGAAATTAAGGAAAATATACTAGGACCAATCTGAGACATCACTCACTCAGAAATAAGGGAAGAATCTTGTAGAGTCCACTTTTTTTCAGATTTTATCCCTAAGAGAAGGACTACCCAATAGTCTCCCCCTGTAAAAACTTTCTATTTGTATCATCTCTGTCTTTTCTATATTTATTCCTCTCTCTGCTACTCCTGTTCTCCTTATCTCTACCACTTAGCTGGTAAGAAATATCTATCTTTACCCCTCAATGCTGCCTCACATAGAAGCATGGAAAGAAAAGGTGGCCAGCTATAAAAGCCTGAGTCAGCAAATGAGTGTGTAGACACTATGTCAAGTAACTTGCTGGACTCTGGACCAGGGCAAAATGGTAGAATACAGGCAATGACTAGAGAAAAGTATAAGCAAGAGCACAATGTACCAGTGTGGCTGATCTTGGAGAGAAGTAACAGGACTTCTATCCCATTGTCCTGCTCCCTCTTGGTCATTCTCAAATAGTGTCTCATAGAATCCCAGAATTTTTAAAAACTTTTAAAATTATAAAATATTATGCTATATATATATTTCCCACAGCATAATTAATAATTTAATTCATTTCCTCCCCCCCCCAAAAAAAATAACCATCAAACCAAGCCACTACACTTACAAATGAATATTTGTATCTCAAAAAGAAAAAATTAACTTGCCCAACATTCTATGGCTGCTTAGAAACTTCACACCATACTTAAATCCTGTCACTTACCTTCGGGTCAGAAAAGCTGATCAACTTTCACTCCACCTTGAAACAAGGAACTGGACCAGAGATTTCAAAGACACTCAAGTGCCTCCAATTCAGCATGAAGTTAGCCACTCTGCTGAAATACTGATAGATCATTATTAAGGAGATGTTCTGGTTTGGGAAAATTAGCATAGGATGCAGCACTGGATTCTTCCCTAAGAGTCCTGGTTTTGGAACAAGCAAGGTCCCTTGGCTAATATTACCCACCCAGCTGATTTCTCACCCAAGGCCTCTATAACCAAAGTCCAAGCCACACACTAAGCCACTCTCCCAATGGTGCTGAGAATAATTTAGAGAGCTTCTATTCCACCCTCTGTTTACAGATGAGATGCCAGAGGCTGAGCGGTTACCTGCCTTTCCAAAGCCACCCACTACCTATTTGCCAGTTTACTAACTTGGAAATCAGTGCTTTGGACGGTACTGGTTGCTACTGTGATTCAAGGATCAGATCTTGTTCCCTAGGACAAATCAACGATGGTCCTGGAAGCTTCTAGAAAATTAAATAGATGATGTCTAAGATCAACAAAGAAAAAAGGAAAATGTAGGGGATCTGTATTGGGGGTAATATTTAGATTTACAGAAACTAAGAAATAAACAAAAGCCATAGGAAACTGAAAATACAGAGATTTTTAAGTTCCTATTTTGATGTAGAAAACCTATTAATCCATTGAAAGTCCAAAGGTTGTGAATAAATGCTGAGATCCTTCAACTAACTAAAATCAAGCCACACATAAAACCAAGGGATCAGCTTCCCCATGGAATTTCTTTTCTCTAGAGTGAAACTTTGCCAAGTAAACTATGACCTGGGGAAGGTTTCAAGGTCTATTTCAATTAGTGTAATGAGAGTTCCATAAAGTTTTTGCAGCCAATAAGGAGGTAGTAAGAGAAGAAAGTTGAAAGTAAGACATGAAGAGGATTTTTCCCCCCAGGCTTGAATACTGATAATAAAAGGAAGAATGAATAGGGAAGGAAAAAGTGAACTGGACAGAGAGCCAGGGCTATGGGCATTAGCTCTGGCTTGATGGTTGACTAACTCTCTGACTGTAGTCATGTCATTTAACCTCTTCACTTCGCATTCTCCCTTGTTTCCAATTCCATATAAAATGACAGAGTTCATGTTATGGTTCATATAATGGTTTGTCCCCCAAAGGCTCATGTTTTGAAATTTAGTTGTAACGGGTAGTTACTGGCTCCCAAGAGTTCATGTGTTAGAGGGCCAGCAGGTGGTGTGGCGGTTAAGGCACTGGATTCCCACATGGTAATGGTTCAAGTTCCAGACCTGGTGGCTTGCTTTCTCACTTCATTGTCTATGTCTCTCTCTGATGAGTGCATGTGCCCTATAGCAAATTAGAAAATAACAATCATAATAAGTAAAACTTTTAAAACTAAATATTTTTTTAAGAAAAGTTCATGTGTTGGGACTTGTTTGTATCATAAAGGTGTTAAGCAGAAATTTAATCCCTGCATCATGTCCCAAGATGAGGTCTTTGAGAATGATAAAGTCATTAGGGTGGGGTCTCTATGACTGATTTCTGGTTTGTTTATAAGGAGAAGAAATGAGACAAGCAGGGCCTACATTGATACAGACCAGAAAGAGAAACTTATGGACAGCCATGCTGCTCAACATCCTGCCCACCACCATGTTGTAGCCTCACCAAAAGTGGGCTTCTGAACCTCAGCCCTCCAAACCATAAGCTGAAAAAACTATTTCTTTATAAATCACCCACTCTTAAGTATTTTGATTAGCAATGGAATAGTGGACTAAAATAATTCATCTAGGTTTTCTTCAGTGTACCTTCCAATTCTAGCATTCACATATGCATATACAGCATTCATATGAAATCACTTAATCTCCCTGTGCCTCCATCCATCCATCAATGACCACATTGATCATAATCATGAAATATGATAAGAATTTCCTCAGAGGGACCAACAGTTAGCGTAATGGCTATGTCACTGGACTCCCACATAGTCAACCGCGGTTTGAGTCCCAGACCCGGTGGCTTAAACTCACGCCAGGCGTGTGTGTGTGCGTGCCCAAGATCCTGAGAGAAGAATGGAGGAGAAGGGATTGTGGCATGGCCATCCCCCCTGGGGGGTGATTTCTCGCTTTCTATCTCTCTGTCTCTCTCTCTCTCTGTCTGGTGAGCGCACATGCCCTATAGCAAAAACCTCTTCAAAAAAAAAAAAAGAATTTCCTCTGAAAGGAATGTAATTTGTCCATATATTCATTTATTCTCTCATTCAATAAAAAGCATTGAGCCCTCTTATGAGCCAAGCACCATTCTAAGGGCAAGAGATTTGGCAGTAAAAACAAAGTCTCTGGATACATGGAGATTGTATCCTTCATATCTCCACCAGAACATAATGGTGGTAGAGGCAGATAATAAACAAATAAAACTTGCTAGGCAATCAGATTGTAAGTACTATGAGAAAAGTGAAACAGAGTAAGGTCAGCAGGGATGCTGGTGGAGTTTATTTTGTATTGATTGGGTTGTCACAAAAATCATGGCATATTTGTTCTATGTTTTACAAAGGTCGTTTACTTATATAAACAACAAAGATCAATCACTGATAGAGTGCTCATTTTATTCAATAACCTTTGCCATCTTGCAGTGAGCTTCATAATTCCTCGTTCACAGAAGGACCTGTCTTTATTGGTGAAAAACTAAACAAGGTGCTGATTCATAACCTCATCTGAATTGAACGTTATACCACACTAGGAGTTTTGAAGAGAGTGAAACAAGTGGCAGTCTGACAGTGCAAGGTCAGACAAGTATGGTGGGTGTAGCAACACATCCCATCCAAGCTCCAGTCATTTTTGATGACCGATCAAACTTGTGTGTGGTCTTGAACTGTAGTGATGGAACACCATCAACAAGCTCTGGACATTCCTGGATGATGAATTCATTTAAACTGTCCAGTTGTCAACAGTACACATTCAAATTGGTTGTTTGGTTCCTTGGTAGGAGCTCAAGAAACGTGACAGCTTTAAACTCCTACCACACTGAGACCAAAACCTTCCCCTAATGAATGTCTGCTTTCGATGTCATTTGAGGTGAATCATCACATCAGGACCAAGACCGTTTGCACATCACATTGTTGTAAACAACCCACTTCTCAACTCCAGTTATCAGTCGCTTTACAAAAGGATCATTTTCCTCATTTAATGAGCATATCACAGACGTTTATACGCACTGTCAAATGAATTTCTTTGAGTTCATGAGGAACCCAAATATCTAGCTTGCTTATGTGTCCCAGCTTCTTCAAGCAGTTATGAATGCTTGAATGATGGGTGTTCAATGTTTCGGCAGTCTCTCATGTGGTATAATGTGGGTCTGACTCTATCGAGTCCTTAGTTTTGTCATCATCAACCTAAGTTGGCCTCCCTGACTGAGAAGCATCATTGAGATCAAAATCACCAGCATGGAATTTCGTGATCACTGTTGGCACTGATGTTCTTGTAGAGCATTGTCACTGCAAACTGTACACAACTTTTCACAAGCTTGACATGTGATCTTCCCTTTACAGAAGTAAAATATTATGAAAATGCACAATTTGTTCTTCCATTTTCAACTTGAAAACTCTCCAAAATTCAGCCAGATCACTTAACTTTACAAGCTAGAACTATCAGATGTCAAATGGCATAGCAATAACATAGATGTGAGTGACTCTAGTATTTCCAAACATGAACTAGCGCCATCTGTTGCAAAAAATATTCCATGACTTTTTTGATAACTCAGTATATGGTGGCAAGGCAAGGCCATTGCTTGCCATGATCTCTGGCTGCTATCTTAAGAAAAATGAAGACAAGTGAAAAATACATAGGGACCAGCAGTTAGCATAATGGCTATGTCACTGAATTCCCATGTATCTTACTGTGGTTCAAGTCCTGGACCTGGTGGCTTAAACTCATGCCTGGCGCGTGTGCATGTGTGCCCAAGATCCCAAGAGAAGAATGGAGGAGAAGGGATTGCGACGTGGCCATCCCCCCTGGGGGGTGATTTCTTGCTTTCTATCTCTCTGTCTCTCTCTGTCTGTCTGGCGAGCACACGCGCCCTATAGCCAAAAAAAAAAAAAAAATCTCCAAAAAAAAAAGAAAAAAAATTTTTTTTTATTTTAATTAAAAATAAATACATAGAAACCAGTTAGAAGACCATCACAGTAACAGTCATGAGATGACTGTGATTGTGTCAGGATGGCGACTGTGAAAAACTTAGGAAGTGATCAGAATTTGGACATATTCTGAAAGTAGAACTAACAAGTTTCTGGGTGTTTTGATTGAGAGAAGAGACAGAAAAGAGAACTCCAACATACTGCCAACATTTTAGACTTGAGCAATGAGACCAGCATTGCTATTTACTGAGGTGAGAATGACAATGGGAAGAGCAGAGGAGCAGGGAAGATCAGGAGTTCCGTTTTGGACATGTTAAATGTCACTGAATTTTTTAATGTACTTATTTACATTCATTCACTGTACATCAATACAATATACAAAATGAGATTTTCCATCCAGAATACATTGTATATTAACTCAAATGTCATGACTTTCAAAAGTGCCAACAGAGAAGTTAACTAGAGTCCTGAGTATATGAATTGAGGTTCAGGGAAGAGGTCCAGGCTGTTGCAACAAATGAAGAGTCATAAACACACAGACGTTGTTTAAAGGCATGAGAGTCAACAGTGTCTCCTCAGAGAATAACAGAGCAGTGGTTTCAGAACCAAGCCTGGGGCACACTAATGCCCCAGGAAAAATGAGGGGAAACCAGCTAAAAAACTGAGAGTAGTGGCCAATGAGATTGAAAAGGAACCAAGACAGATTGCTATCATGGAAATCAAAACATTGTTTGAAGAAGTGAATGGTTAGCTGTGTCTAACTCAGCAACACATCATTGTAAGACAATGGTTAATCATGAAGCAGGAAATTGCACAGGTATTAAGTTCATTCCTAAACATGGGTGATGAATTAAGGGGTGGGCTATGTGGGCATGACACAAGGCTGGTGCCAGTGCCCCATCTCTCTGGCCATCCTGGCACCTCTGTGGGGATTTTGAGTGGTGTGTCAGTGACCACATGAGGGTGAGTTAGAAAAGTTGATTAGTGAAAGCCTGAGAATAAAAGAAGTCAGCATAAAACTATTAGGGTACTAGGACAGGAGAAGTCTTGCCATGATCCTGAGTAAGAGCTCCAAGTCTAGGGGGCCAGCAGGTGGTATGGTGGTTAAGACACTGGACTCCCACATGA